TCAACCTGGCAGCCTATATTACTAGCCTATGTGGTAATAATAATCATAGCCTTCAAATCATGTGTGGAACAAATATTAAATACAATTTGTTGCTGTGATGTTCAACAAGTGTTAACATAATGTTAAACGTTTGTATGAAACAAATATTAATATAACATTTAACATTAGTCTTGTTTGTTTGTTTGTTTGTTTTAGTATCCAGAAGCCATGAGTTGTTAACCCTTAGGCTCGGTATTATGGATATCACAACCTTTCGGCCTTGATTCCATTGTAAATACCCTAAATCTGGGAGAAAATGTGGCTTTTCTGCCTACCCCTGGGAGTGAACCCGGACCACAAGGAGTTCGTCACCGGCTCACCCCGCAATCCGGTTTAGCCAACTACGTTAGAGAGCTGGGCAACCTTAGTCTTAAAAGGAGAACAATCATGATGTAGTGGCTAAATGCTTGCCTGCGGATGTGCAGGCCACAGGTTCAGATCCTGATGGAGCCATACTTTTTTTTTCTCCACAAAAGATCCAACCTTAAATGGGTAGCAGGTAAAGTCTTGGGAAATTAAGGCGGCAGGTATATGCTGATCATATCATCCACTGAGTGCTTAATAGTCTATAACATACACGTCTAATCCAATGTGCCCAATACACCTGAAGGCATGGAAAAGGGTCCTTATTTCTAAAAAGTGTCAACTTAAATAAAAATTCTATATCACAACAATTCTATTCACCAACTATTCTATTCCCCAACATTGCCCGAAAACTACAAAAACTGTCTTTTTCTAAACCATCCGTCATGGGAGTTATACCTTAATATGCTGAAGATTGTTTAATGTGCTCAGGAATCTATAAGCCACGGAACTGCACAATGATGGTTATTGCAAAAGATACATGAAAACAAATACATAAAGGTGCAAACATCAATGTGTTTGCATTATAGACATATAAAACAAAAGAAAACATAAATGGCACAACAATTCTATTTCACAATTCTATCCCCAACAATTCTATATCACAACAATTCTATACCCCAAAAACTCTACATCCAAACAATTCTATACCCCAACAATTCCAGACCCCAATAATTCCAGACCCCAATAATTCCATACTCAAACAATTCCATACCCCAACAATTCCATACCCCAACAATTCTATACCCCAACAATTCAATACTCCAACAATTCTATACCCCAACAATTTTATACTCCAACAATTCTATACCCCACAAATTCATTTCCTCATGTGGGTTCCAGACCCCATTGTGGGGAACGATTGGGGAAAGAATAGACCCACTGCCTCCCTGAAAAGCATGTTGTAAAAGTTGAGTACTTAGGGGATTCCTTTGATTCGGAATGCATCTGCTGAGAGGAAAGAAACAAACAGACTGCTTACACATTAGTCAGATCTGTAAAATGGATGTGCACGCAACACTCTAGTTCTGGAACAAGACTAAACACCAGAAGTGGAAGAACTACCAGAACTTTTCACCTGAGTTTACAGCTGGTAAACATGAAGAAGAAGAACAATTCTTCAAATTCCTATTTTTATCTTCAAGTGGCGCAAACACAGACTAATATAATGTGTCTGCGTATGAAACATGTATAACACAGACTAATATAATATGTCTATGCGTATCAAACATATATAACACAGACTAATATAATATGTCTCTGTGTATCAAACATATATAACACAGACTAATATAATATGTCTCTGCGTATCAAACATATATAACACAGACTAAAACAATGTGTCTGCGTATCAAAGCATACATTAATTAACATATGCATAAACTTCTGTGTGAAACCTATGTTAACATAATATTTTCATGTCTGTGACAAACAAATATTGAAACAATCTTTTGTCGGTGTCTAAGAAATATCAATATAATTTCTAGCTGTTGTGTCTGATAATACTATAATAATGTTTACCTTCTGTGTCTAACAATGACTTATTCCAAGGGACTGACAAATCAAACAGTTTTTTAAAATAAATAAAGTTCCAAATAAAGTAAAGGACTGGGGGGGGGTGGGGGAGGGGGGACTGAGTGGTTTCGAGGTATAGTGTCTGCCTCGAGCACTGGAGGTCCCAGGTTCAGGCCCTGGTGAAGGTTAGGGATTAGTTCATGTGGACTTCTAGTAATTTTTCTCTGGTCTCTAGGTAGTAAGATCGGACGCCCATTTGTATTCTTGAGCACGGAAAAAATCCCTTGGCAGTTGAAAATCAAAAACAGTAGCCTAACGGCGCTACCTGGGGAAAATTTGAAGTTAAAAATCTACTAAAAGTATTTCAGGATCCTTGCCGGTGCAAGGGAGTTCGTGCACTATGCTGAGAACTTCAGACTCAGGCTTGAGTAAGAAGTAGAACGAAGCACTTATGGGTTACACCCATGTGTCATGATTTTGCGTATGTTAAGTAAAGCAAAGGACCCTTTTCATGTTCAGTCCGTTGTGTAAGTTAAGTAAAGGACCCTTTTCATTTTGTCTGTTGTGTAAATCAAGTAAAGTAAAGGATCTTTAACCTTTTCAGTCTGTTGTGTAAGTTAAGTAAAGGATCCTTTTCATGTTCAGTCTGTTGTGTAAGTTAAGTAAAGGACCCTTTTCATGTTCAGTCTGTTGTGTAAGTCAAGTAAAGGACCCTTTTCATGTTCAGTCTGTTGTGTAAGTCAAGTAAAGGATCCTTTTCATGTTCAGTCTGTTGTGTAAGTCAAGTAAAGGATCCTTTTCATGTTCAGTCTGTTGTGTAAGTAAAGTAAAGTAAAGGATCTTTAACCTGTTCATTCTGTTGTGTAAGTCAAGTAAAGGACCCTTTTCATGTTCAGTCTGTTGTGTAAGTTAAGTAAAGGATCCTTTTCATGTTCAGTCTGTTGTGTAAGTCAAGTAAAGAACTCTTTTCAAGTTCAGTCTGTTGTGTAAGTTAAGTAAATGACCTTTTTGTGGTCAACATTATGCTGACTATCTATTTCCCCCCGGAAATTTTTACTGTACCCATACTTAGGCTGGGTCAACCTGGCAGCCTATATTACCAGCCTATGTGGTAATAATAATCATAACCTTCAAATCATGTGTGGAACAAATATTAAATATAATTTGTTGCTGTGATGTTCAACAAGTGTTAACATAATGTTAAACGTTTGTATGAAACAAATATTAATATAACATTTAACATCAGTCTTGTTTGTTTGTTTGCTTGTTTGTTTTAGTATCCAGAAGCCATGAGTTGTTAACCCTTAGGCTCGGTATTATGGATATCACAACCTTTCGGCCTTGATTCCATTGTAAATACCGTAAATCTGGGAGAAAATGTGGCTTTTCTGCCTACCCCCGGGAGTGAACCCGGACCACAAGGAGTTCGTCACCAGCTCACCCCGCAATCCGGTTTAGCCAACTACGTTAGAGAGCTGGGCAATCTTAGTCTTAAAAGGAGAACAATCATGATGTAGTGGCTAAATGCTTGCCTGCGGATGTGCAGGCCACAGGTTCAGATCCTGATGGAGCCATACTTTTTTTTTCTCCACAAAAGATCCAACCTTAAATGGGTAGCAGGTAAAGTCTTGGGAAGTTAAGGCGGCAGGTATATGCTGATCATATCATCCACTGAGTGCTTAATAGTCTATAACATACACGTCTAATCCAATGTGCCCAATACACCTGAAGGCATGGAAAAGGGTCCTTATTTCTAAAAAGTGTCAACTTAAATAAAAATTCTATATCACAACAATTCTATTCACCAACTATTCTATTCCCCAACATTGCCCGAAAACTACAAAAACTGTCTTTTTCTAAACCATCCGTCATGGGAGTTATACCTTAATATGCTGAAGATTGTTTAATGTGCTCAGGAATCTATAAGCCACGGAACTGCACAAAGATGGTTATTGCAAAAGATACATGAAAACAAATACATAAAGGTGCAAACATCAATGTGTTTGCATTATAGACATATAAAACAAAAGAAAACATAAATGGCACAACAATTCTATCCCCAACAATTCTATATCACAACAATTCTATACCCCAACAATTCTATATCACAACAATTCCATACCCCAACAATTCTATACCCCAACAATTCTATACCCCAACAATTCTATACCCCAACAACTCTATACTCCAACAATTCTATACCCCAACAATTCTATACCCCAACAATTCTATACCCCAACAATTCTATACCCCAACAATTCTATACTCCAACAATTCTATACCCCACAAATTCTATTCCTCATGTGGGTTCCAGGCCCCATTGTGAGGAACGATTGGGGAAAGAATAGACCCACTGCCTCCCTGAAAAGCATGTCATTAAAGTTGAGTACTTAGGGGATTCCTTTGATTCGGAATGCATCTGCTGAGAGGAAAGAAACAAACAGACTGCTTACACATTAGTCAGATCTGTAAAATGGATGTGCACGCAACACTCTAGTTCTGGAACAAGACTAAACTCCAGAAGTGGAAGAACTACCAGAACTTTTCACCTGAGTTTACAGCTGGTAAACACCAAGAAGAAGAACAATTCTATATCATAATAATTCTACAGAACAACATTTCTCTACCACAACAATTATAATTACCATAATTCTATACTACAATTCTATACCACAACAATTATAATTACCATAATCCAAACTACAATTCTATACCACAACAATTGTTATCACACCAATTCTATATCAAAACAATTCTGTATCATAACAATTCTTACCACAACAATTCTAAACCACAACAAATCCATATCACAATAATTCTATACTACAACAAATCTATATCACAACAATTCTTATCACAACAATTCTATATCACAACAATTCTATTTTATAACAATTCTTACCACAAAAATTTACAATAATTCTTATCACAACAATTCTACATCAAAACAATTCTAAAGAGCATAGTATGACATAATTAGCAATCCTAATACAACATAAAATTAAAAAAAAACAAAAAAACAAAACAAACAACTAAAGGAACTTACACATCTTTCTGTTCTCCTTGGAGTCTTCGTTTGTTTCTTACGCTTCATGGGATGTTTTTAACCCATCAATTCTTGCATGCTCAGCTTGGACTACCTTTTTGAGCTCATCCTGTGTGCACACAAAAACAAGGACATGTTTTACAAACCCAAATTCTCTTACTTATTCTGTGCACTGAAAAACTCGCCATAAATTCTAACAGTACATTTTTATAATTTGCTTTTATTACAGACAGTTGGTATATTACCTCTGAATTGTTAAGTGTATTTTTTTTTCACTGATCCTTTCCACACAAAAAAAAAATACATATATATCCAGATATCAGCAGCCTTGATACTGTGCAGTCTACCTACCACCCGTGAACCAATGTCTTCAAAATGTTGTATCGGCCGACCTTCACGGAGGTGACTGCTTCATTTTCAGGAAACTGTAACGCTCCCATCGCAGTTCTCTCTAAGCCAAGATGAGGTTTAACATGGTCGAAATACTTCAACCTCTGGGACAAGATGCTGTTTATGGCAATTTTCCTCAATGTTCAGATCATGTCAGTTTTTTTTCTCCTGGTTCATGGTATTTAAAAAATTGAAAAAAAAAGGGAGGGGGGAGGGGGGGGGAATTACTCCAGAAAAATATACCAGTGTCTTACAATGAGGCTACAACTACACTTCAACATACCAACCTCAAAAGATGGAAAACTACACACCCCAGGTACCACAGCAAATGATCTACATCAGGGCTATTCAACTACACTCACTCACGGTCCAACATTGTATAAATGGGGATCGTCATGGGTCAGAGGCCTGAGCAGAAGCATAGAAAGATCATTAATATAAAACAACTGGCAATGATCCGCGTGCCGCTTGCTAAGCCTCCGCGGACCAGATTTGGGCCCACTGGCCATCAGTTGAATAGCCCTGATTAAAAAGACAAAAATACTGAAGACACCAACAATAGATCAAGCAGATATAACACTAGAGACCAGAGATCTTCACAGATGGGGGACAGAGTGTCTATGGGAATGCCCTAGGTGTTATTATGTTAATTCTAAACTCTTTACTTCAGTCTTATTTGAAAACCATTTATTTTTACACAGACACTGTCCTTTTATTTTTCAACATAATTGTCACCATCATTGATGCACTTGTCCCATCATTTTATCAGTCCTGCCTCTTAAACCTGCTGCATAGAACTGCATTATCTGTTTTCTAAACCACATTTTCACTTCACATTTCAACTTCTGCTTCATTCGTGAAATATCTCCCACCAAGGGTGGGTTTTCAGTGGGCCAAAAAGGTGGCAATTGCTAGAGGCTAAGTCGGGGCTGTAAAGTGGATGTTCCAGAAGATCCCACCCTAGATGGTTAATTTTCTCCTGAGTTAACCAAGTTGTATGTGGTCTGGCATTGTCATGGAGGAGCAGTACTCCTCTAGTCAGCAGGCCTGGATGTTTTCTTCAATTTGCCTCATGAAGCATCAAAAGAACTTTACAGTATGAATCAGCATTTAAATTATCACCTTTTAAAAAAAATTGGTTAAAAGCACTCCTTGACAATCCCAGAACACTGTCAGCATAACCTTCCATTCTGATGGCGTACGTTGAATTTTTGAACACAAGGCAAAGAAGTATGTTTCCATCGCAATGAAGCATACTGTGATTCAGGCTGGTAATGATGCAGCCCATGATTTGTTCCCAGTAATAATCCTGTTCAGCATGTCTTCTCTTTCATCTATGTATTGATAGAGATGCTGCAAGGACAGGCCTAATCGGTTCATTTTGTGTTCATCCATCAATTGTCTGGGTAACCACCTTAAGCACATTTTCTTAAATTTCAAACGATAATGAATTATGATGTAAACTGAACCATGGTAAGCACCCTATTGCAGCTGCTACAAAGTCAACCGTTACTCACCTGTCACCTCTATTCATCTCCTCCACCTGCTGCATGGATGCGTATGTTTCAATCTCAACAGGATGACCATAATGGACTTCATCAATGATTTTAGAGCATCCTAGAAAACATTTTTTTTTACCTAGCTATGCATCACTTTATGGGATAAACATTTGTCAGCATAAAAAGGAAGCATTTCCTTACGAATGTTCTTTGCAGGCAGCCATTTTGCTCAGCCCCCCCTCCCCCCCCCTCCCCCCCCCCCCTCCCCCCCCCCCCCCCCCCTCAAACACATAACAGCATGTTGTTCTTTGATGGTACACCCCGTAAATACAGTCACAATTTTGTTTCTGTGTTCCAAATACGCATGCAACACCTAGTACCACCTAACGAAGGGAGACATGAAGTTCGATGTTGTCTGTCACCTAATGACACCCTTATAAACAACCAACTACATTTTCCTGCCATCCCATAACCATATGTGACTTACTCAGGAGGGAACCTATTTCTAGAATGACTCATGGAGAGATGTAGATGGATCCTATGGTGTAGCAGCTAGACACTCGCCTGCGGATCCAAAGGTTGTGGGTTCAAATGCCACAGATTAGTTTCCTATATGAAAATGGCTCCAAGGTTGGCCAAGCCTTAATTGGGTACCATGTAAACTCCGAGAAAGTAAAGGCAGCCAGCGTGATGTTGATCACATCACGACCCAGGGCAGACTAGTCTGTACAAACATGAGTCTAACATACACCCGATACACCACTGACGTATAAAGGATGCTTTTAGATTATTTTACTTACACAGAAATAAACACTATATGCCCAATACGCCTAAAGGCATGGAAAAGCGTATTTACTTTTACTTACACAGAAATAAATTATAAAATATACTCACCCCCCAGCCCAGCAAATCTGCCAGTGCCTGACAGCCATCATCACACGTAGCTTCCTTAAAGACATCCCTGTGTAGCCATGGAAACAGTTTGCAACAATTAGTGCCTGGAATTCAAAATCTACATTAAATAAATATGTGTAAATGTTACTTATTCTACAAACTCATCCCCCTATAGGATGCAATTTTTCGTTGTTTTGAAGCCCCACCCTGGCTGTTGCCGGGGGCCCTAATATAACCTAATGATTTAACGGGGTTTCTGGGACCACTCCACGGGTGATCCTCATCTGCATGGTGGTACTTTATGTCACCAGGTGTTTATCGCTCAATGTGATGTCCTGGTAGGGTAAAATTTACTTACTACTTTTTCTACAACTGCTTTCTAGAACTGCTGTTTCTTTATGTTTCCTCTTTTTCTTTGGGTATTTCAGGCCACGCACTATTTTTACGAGATATAAAAAAAAAAATATAAAGCAGTGCAAATGTGTAGTCTTCTTTTGAATCTTCTGTTTTTCCTTCAGCTCCCCCATCCTCTTCTAATAACCAATACTTCATCCATCTGGTTGAGAAGTCAGTGTGCACAACATAATGAAATGCAATAATGAACAGTCGTTTTCAATATGAGCATTACTAGCAGAAAAAATAGTGTAGTGGCACCAACAGATCACGATGGTCTGAATAGGAATGGTGCTGCATGGAGGGACCAGGGGATCTGGCTGGTGATCAACACAGGCAAAAAGTTAATTATGAAATTTTATTTTTACCTATAGTTGTCCTCGCTATCAAAATTAAACCCATCTCCATATATTAGAGCAGCCAAAGGATTGTTCTGGAAGAAAAATAGACATAACAGTCAAGCATGTGCACTTCATCAGTATTTCATATAGTTCTAAAACAGTTACTTTAATCAACGCAGTAATGAAAGTAAAAGTAAACCAACAGACAGAGCACTGCTCTTTTGCCCTTTCCCCCCCCCCCCCCATCTTTGTTTCAAATGTAATGATATTACTTTTCCTTTGCAGTAAACAAGGCAGGCAGAGGGAGGGATCATGCAGCAGGGACATGGTCTCTACATTACTACCCAGGCTTTGTGGACAGCAGAAATTTAATCTTAATTGCCCTTCACCATGAGCTATGATTCACAAGTGACTTCTACAGGCACTTGAATTTCGGGTTAGCCTTTCCGGAGGTGGACATACAATGATAACTCTTTCAGTGCCAAACTTGTTACTTCAAGACTTTCTATCCCAAAGATTGTTATTTATTTTTTTAACCCCAAAAAAGGGTCCGGAACCCTTGAGGGAGGCTCATATTTTAAAGTCTTTTCCGTTTATAAAAAAACAAAATTAGTTCCCGCCTTCCTCTTTAATGGCTAGCTTTCTGTACCATCTGTTTTGTATCTAGTACCACAACAGTGGCCAGAAGCTCTTGAATCCAAATCAAGACACACTTTAAAAAATAAAATCTGGCCTTGGTTTCCATGTTGACCCAGCCTAAAATAGGTATTAGATAATGTCCTTGGAAGTAACCACATTGTCCCCTGACTGTCAACTGGTCTATACAAATATGAGTCTATGCCTGATATGCCACTGGTGTAAAAGGGCTCTATTACTACAACATTATATGATATGAAATGTCCTAAGAAAAGTTCTAAATGTTACAGTGCATCTAATAGTTTAGAAGTTTTACCTAAGGTACAAAACAAATACTTCAAATACTTTAGAAAGCGTAAGTTAACATCAGTTTCGAACATCCATGTGTGGGTTCTGGGACCCAATTGTGGGGGAAAGCATGAACACACATTCCCAAAAGCACGTGGTAAAGATTTTACTAATTGTGAGTTTCCTTTAAAGTTAGAGTGCATCTATCTGAGAAGCAAGGAACCATTAGATTGCATACACATGAGTCAGATCAGTAAAATGGATGTGCACGCAACACTCAGGTTCTGGAACAGAACTAGAGCTCGGAAGTTGACAAACAACCTGAACTTTCCACCGGAGTTTACAGCCAGTGAACTCGAAGAAGTTAATAAAGGAATTATAAACATCTATAACACTTTATAAATAATTACTGATTTACCTGTATACATATACACATGACTGTTTAGAAAAAGTAAACAACTGACCCTGGGGTAGATATACTTCTCACGCTTTAGAAAAGGTAATCAGGTTACTTGTTATCAATACCTCTCTTTATAAAAAAAAAAGAAAAGAACTAACATCTAAATTACAAAGATAAGGAAGTACTTCAACTGGAAAACATGTAAAACTAATGCAAACTTCAATGCTCACAATGCTTGCTCCTTTCTCTAAGTTGATGTATAACCTTGGTGTGTGTGCAGGGACCCTGAAATAAAGATGATTTATTTAGCTTTTTGGTTCCAGAAGATTTTACAGCAGGTGTTTTGTTCTTTTGTTCTTCTAGTGATCACATCCCCAATTTACATTGTCAGACAAGTTCTTATGATCAAATATGGCGTTGACACAATCCTTACTTAATGAACTTTACAAGGAACAGTCTTTTAGAACATAGTTTACGGTCTGAGTGATGAACTATGAACTACTCAGACGAGGCTTGTGCACTGCTTGTTAAGTCTGATATACCTTGTCCTGAGGTGTAGAAAGATGACCTCTCCATGCTGGTCAAGTGAGTGGTAGTAATCACGGGCCTGACTGTGTTCTCTTCTGACAGATCCTCAAAGCTCAGTCTTTAAATGTTTATATGGCTAGGACACACCTGGAGAATGGCAGAGTCCCTAAGGACATCCTCTGTGGTGAATTACAGACGGGTAGTAGATTTCAGGGTTGGCGTCTACTATGACATTAAGAGCAAGAAATGAACAATACAGGTGCCCGGCTCTCTAGCGTAATTGGCTAAACCGGATTGCGCGGTGAGCGGGTGACGAACTCCTTGTGGTCTGGGTTCACTCCCGGGGGTAGACAGAAAAGCCACATTTTCTCCCAGATTTACGGTATTTACAATGGATTCAAGGCCGAAAGGCTGCGATATCCATAATACCGAGCCTAAGGGTTAACAAATCATGGCTTCTGGATACTAAAACAAACAAACAAACAACGATACAGGTATTGATGTGGATTAATGGTAACAAGATGCCATGGACCGTGTTGCATAGAAAGGAAAAAAATCAGGCAGGGAGCAGGGATAAAAGTCAAAAGGATTGCAGACAGATTAGGAGCTGAGCATGTGGGAAGCAAATTTAATTATTGCTAATGGCAACAATAGTCCTGAAATCCAATGCTCTGATTGTGGAAGACTTTTCTCAATTAACCCACTGACTACCATGATCGCATATTGTGCGATCTGCCAATGTTTAGGCCTAGCTACATTGATCACATACCCTGTGATCGTAACTTTGGAAGCTCATCGCTATGTTAAAATTGCGATTTTTGAGACCAATTTCACCGGAAACTTTAGTCCATTCAATTCTCTATGCTTCTTTAAGGGAAACAATTGTTGAAAGTTTTCATGAATATTTTTAGTTAGGTCCCATATTGATGTTGCATTAGGTGGAAGTTTTGATAATGGCGGATGATCGGCGATCGTCAGAGCCAGCATGGTGGGCACAAGTTTGAGGAATATTTCTGATGCCATGAGAGATGTTCTTGACTTTTGAAATTGGTAAATGATGACTGTAACTTTGATAATTCTTGCGAACTGCCATAAAAAATATTGTCGAAACTGAAGGTGCAGTAGTCGGAGGTAAATGTGTTATGTTACTTTGGTTCACGTAAATTATTTCGTGTGCGTGCTACAGGTGTGCACTGTTAGATGCATCTGTTAGTGTAGATTGTGTACGTTACATCGTTCCACAATACAACCCTCGACCTTTACCTAGGTGCGATGGGCGTTTTAAGAGAAGATTGTTTTTGTGTAGCTTTTTTGGAGTGTGACAATTCAGTCATACTGTATTGACGGGCATGGTTGTCAGTAGGATAATAAGTGCGTCTAATAGGGCCCACCACCATCTAGCACAAGATACAACTTTCACCTAGAAAGCTGCCAATAATAACAACACGCACAATAAAGCCAACAATCAAATAAATACCTGCTGACTAGTGAAGCAAACGGCTGAACAGCGAGAGATGTGCCCATTACTATCAGTAAGTCACATTTAGCAAAATCCTGCAAATTATATTAGCAGACTTTACTTTCAGATATACAAACATAAAAATTATGAAATGAAAAAATATTTATAATTATTTATTTTTGACAACATAAAGATCAACAGCATTATCAAGTCCCATGCTGGAAAGCATGGGCAGATGATGTTTACCATCTAATATGATCAACAGTTTTGGATCAGGTCTTAATTCTCGACTATGCCAAGTGGCCGAACCAACAAGGTATTCAATGTCTTCAATGTCTTATTCACCCTCCCTGACTATAAAATCTGGCAGAAATATGTTCACCTAGTGATGGACTTTGGTCTATTTAAGGACTTGAGTGTTTCGTGCACATACATTTTTTTTACAGATTTGGCATATTTATGTCCAGACTGTAAGTCACTCACCTCTCATGCAGATCTGCTCTGACTTTGAAGTAAATGCCAAACCTACCTATGTTGGAAATTAAGAAGAGTTTGGATGCAACTCAGATGTGGTTCTTGAGAAAAATGTCACGAATACCTTGGACTGACAATAACTAGCAACTACTGCCTGGAAATGGCTAATGAAAGTAGAGCATTATATACAACAATGAGAAGAAGACAAACTAAGTTCTTTGGTTATGTGATGAGAAAAGGAGCACTGGAAAATATCGTGATGACTGGAAAGATCACTGGTAGAAGAGGCAGAGGCAAAGGCAGACCAAGAGAAATGATGGTGGATAGCTTAAGACAGTGGCATAGAGGAATATCATCAATGGAATTGATCCAGAACACCAAGGACCAAGATCTGTGGAGATGCATGAACACCTATACCAGCTGGCAAGGCACTTGATGATGATGATGTTCTATGTTGCCTCTCTCCCAACCTCCACGTGAGAACCTGTTTCTAGGATGACTGCTCAGGTGTAGATAGATAGGTTTTGACCAGCATAAGCCCTGGTTCTGGTCAACCACTATCTGCGGTTCAACACCTCTGCACCCTAGGTATATATGTGAAATAGACGATAACAGAGGAGCCACCATGGTGTAGTGACTAGACACTCGCTGCGGATCCAAAGATCGTGGGTTCAGGTCCTGACTAAGCATGATTTTTTTCAGAAATGACCTTGGCTTTCAGGTCAACCCAGCCTTAAATGGGTACCAGGTAAAGTTCTGGGAAGTAAAGGCGGCTGGAGTGGTACCGCCTCACTGCAAGGACAAGTGTACTTCAACATACGGCCAGCAAGTCACCCTAAATGTAGATAATATTTCTCTGGCCAGTGAACTACTTTATGATAAAGCGAACATGGTGAAAACTTTCTGGGATAAAATGGACAGAGAATCCGTACATGGAAAGATTAAATCAATGGGTGTGAGTAGAGGTTCTGGAATGTTGAATGTTGACTTAAGAATCAATATCACAGCACTTGGGACACTCCCATAAGCACTACATCCCCATCTTCAGCAGCAGACCAAGAGTTCCAATTCCGATGGCACCAGTAACTGTCTGATTGTATATCCGTCTTGCCTTTCCCTTGATTGTTGAGCATCAGCCAGATCCCTTGGCCCGCTGTTTGTTTTTTAGTTGTTTTGTGTTGTTTTTTTTGTTTTGTGTTGATGAGTTGTATGTGATGTTTTTTTTTTTTTTTTCTATTTGTTATTTGTTTCTTGCAGCGCCATTCTCCTCAGACTGTAATGATCTATTTGCACTTCCGCACTGTTCCCTCGCTCTCAGAAGGCCCTGACAACATCCAGCTTGTCATACATCAGTTCACCACCAAGTGGTGCAGAACTGACCAGTCTATCTGCCTACTCATTTCCCAACAAACCGCCATGACCTGGAGAGAATATCTAAAGGACGATAACAGAACCGACCAGTTTATCTGCATGCTCATTTCCCAACAAACCGCCATGACCTGGAGAGAATATTTAAAGGACGATAACAGAACCGACTAGTTTATCTGCCTGCGAATTTCCCAACAAACCGCCATGACCTGGAGAGAATATCTAAAGGACGATAACAGAACCGGCCAGTCTATCTGCTTGCTCATTTCCCAACAAACTGCCATGACCTGGAGAGAATATTTAAAGGACGATAACAGAACCGACTAGTCTATCTGCCTGCGAATTTCCCAACAAACCGCCATGACCTGGAGAGAATATCTAAAGGACCATAACAGAACCGGCCTGTCTATCTGCCTGCTCATTTCCCAACAAACCGCCATGACCTGGAGAAAATATCTAAAGGATGCTAACTACCCGGGACCTCTGAAGTGATGCTTGCCACTCTGCATGAAACTGGAGGTTCCGGAAGATATTAAATTATTCCGGAAGATATTAAATACTAAGGGGGGAAAAACAGGCACACTTTTAATCACGTTATTAGAATGCTGACTGTTTGCTGGCTACTGAGGAAGGAGAAGGAACATGTGTCGGAATGTCCCAAGTGCAGTGAGGAAGGAGAAGGAACATGTGTTGGAATGTCCCAAGTGCAGTGAGGAAGGAGAAGGAACATGTGTTGGAATGTCCCAAGTGCAGTGATGTCAAATCTTGATTTATTCATTCATTCATATCATGCCACATATAAGGTTATATACTAACCTTAGCCACCAGATCAGCAAAGCGCCTTGGCAGAGCCTCTCCAAAGAAAGTAATGTCTGAAAGTTAAGACCAAATGGCATTTCATTACTGACATGTCCTGCAGCTGATTACAAAAGCCAAAACTGTAATAGAATGCACAATGTTATAGGCCAGTGTTTCCCAAACTTTACTTAGTCATGAGAAAGTATGACTGTACGAAAAAGATTAAAAAAAAATAAATAATAAAACTCGTATATCTTTGAATATTTCGCGGTGCCCCTGTGAAGAGGTCGCAGCTTTCCGGGGCACACAGTTTGGGAATCAGTGTTATAAGCAATAAGAATTGCTGTTCCTGCAATTACAGATTTTAACGCAAAAGTAGATGTGAAATTATGGATGTTGAGAGAGTAATATTTAATATAAATGGAGAACGACTAGCTGAATTCCGTATGCAGCCAGATCTAGTGGTTGTAGGCACCGTCTTTGCTCACAAGGAGATTCATAAATTAACCTAGCACACCAGGTGAAGTGACAAAGAATCAAATAGACCACCTCTGTATAAACAACAAATATAAAAGCTCTCTGAAGGATGTCCAAACAAACAGAAAAGCAGATACTGGCAGTGACCACATCCAATGTGTAGGAAAACTAAAGCTTAAATAAAAAACAGCTGCAAAAAAAAAAAAAAAAAAACATGTGCAAGAAAGAATAGATAGCCAAAGACTTCACAAAGTAAAATTAAGAGAAGAAGTTCCAGTTTGAGCTGAAAAACAGATCTGAAGTACTTGAAGTACTGGAAGATCAGAGTATTGAAGAAAACTGGAATTATGGAAATACCACAATTTTGGAAGCAGCAAGGATTAATGCAGGATTAAAGAGGCATGATAAAAAGCCCTCAATAAGTGATGACACATGGCAGTGTATTCAGAAAAGAAAGGCACTGAAGCTTGCTATATTCAATGCTAAAATAATTAAACAAGAAATCAGGGATATGTCGATAGATTAGCTAAAGATGGAGAACAAGCCGCTAAGAGTGGAAATAGTAAAAAAAAAAAAGCTATAGAGTACACTAAAACAGCTAACTAGTACTTTCAAAATGAGGGTTGGTCCCATTAAAGTATGGATGGTATCTGCTTACATCTGACACTGAGCAGAAGATAGAGATGGGCAGAAAACTTCCAAGAAATATTAAATAGACCTAGTCAACAAGAAGCAATGAATTCTGATGAGGCGGCTAAAATGACCATATTACCCCCAAAAAAGGGGATATAAATTACATGCAAAGTAGGGAGGCAATCAATTCATTACCAACCAATAAGGCAGCAGATGATGTAACTATACAGAGAGTGATTGATTTGTTTTATAGAATATTGGCAGACCAAAAAATGTCAGATCAGTGGAAAAAAAGGAATAATTGTTAAAATTCTCAAGAAAGGTAATCTTACTGACTGTAACAAGTGCAGAAGAATTACTTTGTTTTCAGTAATGCCAAAGACTTTGTGTTAAATAATTCTCAATAAAATTAAATGGGTAGTGGTCAAAATCCTGAGAGAGCAAGGAGCAGGTTTTGGACCTGGAAGAAGTTGCTTAGATCAAAAGTTTTGGTTCTCAAGCCAGCGAACAGTGACTGTAACAAATTCACTCTACTTTTGAGGAATTTATTGAAAAACAAGAACCCATTATTTTGAATTTCATCGACTTTAAGAAAGCTTTTGATAGTTTACACAGGGAATTTTGGAATGCTATGGTTTATGCTATGGAAAATAAATATTATTAAAGCAGTGTATGAAAGTTCAGAATGTGCAGTGCCAACTGACAATAGTTTAAGCTACTGGTTTCAAGTTAATACTGGAGTGAAACAGGGATGGATTTGATCTCCTCTTTTATTTGGCACTACATTGGACACATCCAGAGAAGAAATCAGCAAAGAATCATCAAACAGGCATTAAAATGGGAAATAAAAGGATTAAGGAGGCGAGGACGTCCAAAAGAAACCCTAAGAAGAACACTGATGAGAGAGGCTAAAGCAGCTGGACTGGATTTGGTCCATGATATTAAACTGATAGCACAGGATAGAATGAAAGGGAGGATCAGACTGCGAGCCCTTTGTGAAATTTAACGGAACAACAGGATAATTTCATATTCACAAGTTGTAAATTCAGGCTGAAAGTTCTGGTTGATTGTTTACTTCTGGACTTTTAGTCTTGTTTTAGAACTTGAGTTTTACATGAAGAAGTAGAGCATGAGGCATCATAGCAAAACTGATTGGACGTTGCTTAGTGCATCAAAGCCTGGCATAGATACCACAACATCTAGTGTGAGAATGGAGGTGGAGGCAGTCCTTGCAGCTTTTCGCTGGCTTGAGAACCAGCTGCACACACACGTCATGATTGTAACTGACTCACAGCGTACCTTGAACAGGTAGAGACAGGTAAACTTGGTGCAGATGGTATGCATCAGAGATCCCGGGTAGCTAGCGTTCTTTGGATTTTTCTCTAGGGCATGCAGGTGTGTTGGGAAACAGGTAGATAGACTGGTTGGATCTGCACCACTTGGTGGTATACTGAAGCATGCAAGCTAGATGTTGTAAGGGCTCTTTAGAAGCGAGTTAACAGTGCAGAGGCACAAACAAATAAACATGGTCTGAAGAGAATGAGAAGCGAGGAGTGACTAGGGGATCAGACCGACGCTCAACACTCAAGACAAAGTGAGATGGATGTACAATCAGACTGGTATTGCAACATCAGATTTGGTACTCTGCACCTGCTGCTGAAGATGGGGATGTCGTGATTAAATCAGTAACTTTTTAAATATGAGAAAGATAATATGAAGAAGATATTTCAAGAATGTTTAAACTTGTCAAGTTGGCACACAACTGCATTACCTGGTTTGACAACCCCACTGCAACCCTCTTTAGTACACATTGGTATCTGGTCAGCAAAAATCTGCTCTGTTAAAGACGGAACAAGAAATAATTGTATTTAGGTAATAACTGAAAAAAAAAGTACAGTGGAACATCGCTTAACAAGCATAATTCGTTCCAGAATCATACTCGTTAAGCGAAACACTTGTTACGCGAAGCAATTTTTCTCATATGAATTAATGTAAAATACGATAATGTGTTCCATGTCGAAAAAAAACATATTTACAAAATGCTATGTATAAGTTATACTATAACATTTTTTCAAAGAAAATTATATACATATTTAAGGAAAGTGAATCATCTTCATCTTTTCTTCAAACGCGAAACGAACCCACATGGAATGCGAATTCGATTTGCAGAAAAAAAAAAGTTGAAATAATTATGATACATAGCTAATTATTTTTTACCAGAAAGATGTCCAGAGACATTTGTTTTTTGTCAACGCTTCAAAATTTGGCGAAAATGTGACACAGCATTATCATTAAATTTGCAGCGCGCATAGCAACTTCCTTATTAAGGTGATGCTTCTCAATGTGAAAAGCAACAGTTTGCCATGCTTTCAGCATTTTTCTTATTTCGCCAGAAGATTGTTGCTTTTCTGTTATCTTCTCCTCCTCCTCCTCTGACAAAGTTTCCTCCAAAACGTCTTGCTGTGAAACACAATGCAACTCCATAAGCTCTTCGATGGCCAGCTCTTGGCTGCGCTCTTCCACAAGCTCTTCGATATCACTGTTATCCACCTACAATCCCATGATAGTGGCCAAAGACACAATCTCATTGACTACAGGTTCCACAGGTACTGTCTCGAACCCCTCAAAGTCACAAATCGACAACACTCTCCGGCCAAAGCTTCCTCCAAGAAGAAGTAAGGGTTCTCTTGGTAACCCCTTCCCCCGCCTTTTCATTCATCTTGAGGCAGGTAACAACATGGAAGTGATTTTTCCAAAACTCTTTGAGAGTGAGGTTGGTCCCTTCAGTCACCTGAAAACAATGCTCGAAGAGTGCTTTAGTGTAGAGCTTCTTAAAGTTAGAAATAACTTGCTGGTCCATTGGCCGGAGTAATGGAGTGGTGTTGGGAGGCAGAAACTGGATCTTGATTAACTTAAATTCATCAGGGAGGTCATCTTGTAAGCCTGGAGGATTCATGTACATATATCACAATATAACATAAGTTTGAGAAAATGTGTGATCACAAGCGACAATGCTACTGGAACGAGTGCTAAACACTGATGTAACATGCGCAAAATCAGGCACTTTCCCTCTCCTCGCCACTTGTTATGTGAAACGTCGCTCGTTAAGCGAGTCATTCTTTTACAATTTGTTTTGCTCATTATGCGAATTACTCGTTATGCGAGGTGCTCGTTAAGCGAGGTTCTACTGTATTCAACTTCGATAAAATTTAAATTTTTAAAATATTCTTGTAGTAAGAGAAGAGAAACCAGGAAATGTCTACATATGTAGCTATAACTTTTAACTGCTGTTAAAATTTTAACCAAGAAAAAAATAGAAATAACAGAATTCAAATTAAAGTGTATCCAACATTTTGAATAACTATGTACATTTAGAGGTCCCAGAGCCTGTGATTACTTCCTGTAGTTTTTAGGGAGGCGTAGTACACAGGATCTTGAGCCTGAAGATTTAAGGCCAATGGCTAGTGCAGCTGCCACTATGACCTGTACAGGTTAGGATGTTTACATCTGTTTAAAAATACAACAACTGGAAAATGTGTACCTTTCATCCACTCAAGGTCATATAGTTCATTGCAATTCAAGCAGTGTGATGTGTGAAATGATCCATGGGCTTCCACAATCTTGTCAAAATCCAGGCCAGAGACTCGTTCCAGTGTGTCTATATTCTGTAAAGAAGAGAATTAAAGAATTCACTGCTGGAAGACTGATTTTTTACAATGACAAGACACAGACCATTTCCACATGCATGCTTTCTCAGTGACTTAATAAGCATGTTCAGGAAGATAGAGAAAGGCTGAATCAGACGACAGTGGCTGGAGTCACTAAAGCGGTCGGGGCTGACACATATCAGTTTCATATTTGTGACAAGGCATGCAGGCGTGCAAAGAAAATGAGCAAGCCGATCGGCTTGCCGGTAAAGCTACTGTGGAGGGGGGGGGGGGGGGGGTGGGGGGGGGTGAGAGCCAGGGACCATGCTGATATTCTAAATGCTCTATGAGAAGTAAGAACTTTGCGAGAACCAAGTGATGACTGTGAATCTGCAATAATGACCAGACTGCAAGAACACATGTTAAAAGGGGTGCGGCCAGACAAGACACTATACATGAAGCCAAAGAAGAATAAGAAACCAACACAAAACTGGTGTCGTGAGCCGCTACACCCCGCAGGATTTACTAAGGAGGGGATCCGGGCACTTATGGACTGAATGCTTCAATGAGCAATGAGTATAATCTGTCGACTGATTAACTAACAATAAGAAAAGTGGGTTGTTGTTTTCTATATCTCACAACAGTGGAGGCAAGCTGCACTTAGGAAGTTCTACATGGCCTCCTTGCAACCTATAATCTCCTGTTTCCACCCCTGGACTGCTGGTTATGGTTTGAACCAGATATAAAAATTCAAGAATGAAGAGAGCAAGATGAAGAAAGCAATATATGTGGGAGGACAACAACAAGAGATGGATGACAGCAGTCAAAGAGAGTGAGCAGCCTAGAAAACAGGAGACTGAGAGTTGGAGGTCCACTGCAGGCAACCTTCACTGTGGAGATGGCACCTGACTGACCGATTAACCTGGTGTAGCCTGCAATTCAGCACAGGTAAAGATTAAGAAAATATTATATAGATTTTGCTTTCTTCTTCTTCTTCTTCTTCTGCATTCATCCAAAGATGTAACTGCGTTGTGTCCGTTTACAGCATGGCTGCGATATTTGCACCTTTCGGCCAACACATCCGACTTCTGCGGGCATTTCTTGACCAGGTTAGCCTTCCCGGTTAGGACATGGCAGTCTCATTGTTGTGTGGTCATCTTTATTTCCCAGGTCACAGGTGGTGCCCCAATCAGACTGGTCCAGAGAAGCCACATAATGCTGATCAGCCCTCAAGAGAAGGCAGGGGCAGACCATGAGCATTCCCCGCCATCCAAGGAGGCTTCCACAAATGCAGAGCTAATACTTGGTGCTCTGGTCCTGGGCTCACCCAAGGAATCGTCACGTCCTGCTCATGGCTGTTTAACCTCACTTCCATATATTGAACATCTCATACATCATGGGCTATCTCTTTTGTAGCCAACATTATGCAGCCTGCAGACCCAGGATATAATTTTCCTACACCATAAAATGAGTACTTTGCTTCTTTTGCATATTAGACTTTTACTGCAGTGGACTTCCTCATCCACTATAGTTTTACGTGGTTTACGAGCGCTACATCTCTAAGGACTATCAGCTTCCTCATCCACTTTAGTTTTACGTGGTTTATGAGCTCTGCATCTCTAGGGACTATCAGCTCAAAGAATTTCAGGGTTTTATTCTTCTTATACCTTCAGATGTCAATGTGGATATATTTGAAGAAATCAGCAGTCAACTTGAGGTTGTTGACATCTCCACAGTTTATCCTCAAAAGTTGTGGGTGTCTGCCAGAATAATTTTCTCTGTTCTGCACATATTGGACATTCTTAGTTTATTGAACAAGTGGTGTTTCAGCCTATTATTTCCTGTGAGGAGTCTAAAGATCACTACTTGTTCTCTTCGGCCAAGTTGGTAGTATGCATCATCCTTCTTGTAGCCTGGATGTTCAGAATCCCATTTGATTCTATATGTGCTTCTTATAAACCTCTTGGCTTCATCATATGTTATGTCTATATCAGGCTGTGGTAGTCTTCATCCTTCCTTTGCCAATCTGTCAGCCTCTTCATTTCCATGTATGTTGCAATGGGATGGAATCCATTGTATTACGACTCTATTTGATTTCTGACTCAGTCCATGGAGTGCTGCTCTAAGGTAGGTCTGCTAGTTCTGTATCATTTTTGCTCTTCAGTGCTGAGACAACTGACTTTGCATCTGTGAAGATAGCTATGTATTCCTCTTTATTTTTCTTTGACAGAAGCATTTCTGCTGCAATTCTCAGGGTCTCTGCCTCTGCTCTAAAATTATGTGAGAACTTTCCGGTTGCAATCGACTGTGTTTTCTTTGATCCATTTTTTAGGTTGAGGACGAATCCCCCACCTCCATTTTCTGTTGAATTTTTTGCTGATCCGTCTGTATATGCATGAGTCCAGGTGTTACTTGGGTATTGTTCTTTTAAGTAGTTTAATGTGATTTTCCTTCTTTCTGTTTCATTCTGAGTGTTCTTTTTCTCAATACCAGGTATATTTTCTATCAATTCCGGCAGATGCTGCTGTCTCCAAGCAGGGAGCGTATATGTAATGTTTTTGCTTTCAATAGTAAAGATGAAATGAAACCACCATTTACTTAATTTAAAATGAAAGAGACCTAAAATTTGAAGGAAAAATGTAACTATAATTTGCTTCTATTGCTAATATGAAATGGTATCATATTGGCCAGGGGTTAACAGTATAAAGTTTTAGGCTAAAGTATATACTAGGTCACAATGTGATCATGTTGAATGATTAACCCCCCCCCCCCTTTCCTACCTCTTCTTTACAGAGAAATCACTATTCTCCAACACAAATCTTAGACAAAAATAAGACAGATATATACAAGTCTTTTCACCTGATCCTCTAATTCTTCTTTCAATGTGCTTCTTGGTCTGTCTAGATTCCCTTTTTCCCCCCATTTTCCCATCCTAGCGGGCTGGTTATTGCTTGTTGCTATATTTAACATGCTCAAGGTTGGTTGGGTTTTTGTGGGTTTAATGTTTTACAGGATGAGGCAGTCGACCCTGCCAAACTCAACTCTGCCCTTAGTCCCTTTTATGATATGATTACGCAAGGTGCAGCGTTACTTACTATTCTTTGCTTCCTTTAAAAGTCCAGGTAACAGATGGCAAACTCTTGTCCATCGTCAGGTAGCAGGTCTTTACAGAAAGTCACTCTCCCCTAAGTCTGCTTGAAAAAAAGTTGGTCTTTTGCCAGCTCTCCCACCTCGTGCACTTTCCTAGCCAAGGTGCCACTTACATCCTGCGCCTATCTTCATGGTGGTAGGTCCCTGCCTCTCTTTCATGGTACCATACCTTCTACTATTATTCTCTCCAATCTGTCAGTTTCCTTGACAAGATCTTGTTTACTAGCCAATCCTCCTTGATGTTCAGATCTTTTAGGACATCAGCGTTTCTTTTCTTTTTTGTCCATGGTATTCTGAGATATTTTCTACATAATTTCAGCTCAAAAGCCCCTATTTTTTTCTTAGGGACTGCAAGGAAGTCGACAACTCACATCCGTATGTTGCTGCTTCAGGTAAGATTCTTAGGAAAAAAAGGTTAAAGTCGAGAAGATCGACTTTAATGCACTACATTTGATCCCATATGGCTTGGTCTCTCTCTGCAGAATGGCTAATGGCCTGCTGAGAGCGTCACACAAAGTATGTAGAAAGACATGGTTTTTATGGTTAGCACTAGAGTAACATAAAATGCAATGCTGTCCTACTTCTGTATTAACTATCAATGGAACAAATATAAATACCTGTGTATAATGTCTCAGCAACTTTCCCTTGTCATTCAAGATCTTGATAAAGTAATGGCAAGGAGTAGGCTTGAAGAAAAGACAACATTGAAAAGAAAGCCATTTTAGTTTGTATTTCTTATTCACATATTTTATCAAGCACTAGATTTAATTATTCGGTTTTGCCCAGGATATTGAAAGACAGTCTTATTCTCCCGTCCTCTACCTCATCTTGGTCTCCACTGCTGCCCTCTATGTAGACCTAGTGGAAATAGGGGTCTAACTCTTCTTCCGCCTTTCTGTTCCCAATGAAGCATAGACCCTCAACCAACCCATGCCAAGTTATTATATCCTTCACTATCACATGCAGTTCTTCCCATGTCCTCTTGAACTTTTTTAACTTAAACTCTCTAGCTGCCTTTTCCATGTGTTTTTTGGTCTTCTTTTATTTCTATTTCCCTGTGGGTTCCACCATGAGTGTTGGAACATGAGCAGGAATTACCCATAAACTTGAGACTTTTCATAATAAAAGTCTAAAGAGAATCTTGCAAATATATTGGGGCCATAGAATATCACAGATTACAACTGAGAAAGGAACAAAATGTTCACCACTGGCAATTACTATCAATGGAAGATGAATGGAAATGGCTTGGACATGTTTGCAGAATGTCAAAGACAGCTCTGAAGTGGACAGCAGATAGAAAAAAGAGAAGGGATGACTTAAAGAAACACGGCAGAAAAGGAAATGAAGAAATGTAAAATTACGTAGGATCCCATATATATAAAAGCACTGCACCGGCAGCAAAGGAAATTACTTGCGCATGCCTTATGTGACAACAGGGACATGAAAAGGATTTAGAGACAGAGATAAATGCATAGGAAGTGTGAATAAATCATCACTAATACATTTTTATTGCAATACTTGTAATAAGGATATGGGAAAGAACAAGACAGAATAATGACAGTATAATAATATTATAAACTAGGGGAACAGGGATGGCAGAATGTTAAGCTTTGACTTTATTTTTGCTTCTGGCAGCACTTTGCTAATGCAGTTGCCATATATGAATGGTAGACTACTGTTTTGCTGCCTGAGCTGTGTGTATGTACATTTGTATGTGTGTATGTACACATGCACATATGTGTATGTGTGTGTGTGTGTGTGTGCATGTTCGTATGTACGTATTAGGTGCCTATGTGTGTGTGTGTAAGTGAGTGAATAAGTTTGCGTGTGTATCTGTGTTCGCGAGCGAGCATGTGCACATATTTTAACACCCATGCTTTTGTTTTTGATTTGATATTCATAATATGCATATTATTACATGAACATAACATGCTTTATTGATGAAATACAACTAAGACAGGCCCACGTGCCTAATTTGTGACCCTTTGAAAATAAAGTTTGTTCGTTTGTTCGACTACTTTCATCAACAGCAAACTGCATTTGTATAGCTTTCCTTACCTTTAAAACACTAGGGTACAACTCTTTAGCCAGAACAAAGAAGGGCTTTGGATTTTCCTAGAAAGAAAAATGAACATATTAACTATTCTAGAAGTGATATTAAATATTTGGTAAAATGAAATGTGTATATCCATCTAGTAACTTATGTTTAAATGCAACAGATAATTGTGTATTTCTTCAGATAATGTTGTATTTCTTTTGCTGCAATTTTCCTTAAAAGAATGGTTGGCACACTGTTTTATAGTTTACAACAAAGCTGCAATATTTGTCCCTTTAAGCTCAATTTATCTGATTTAAACAAACCCTTAATTAGTCACGTTTGATGACATGCTTGTTAATTGGCACAAGGGACATTTTTTGTCAGCACTGCTTGGAAACAGCTGGTGAAGGAAACCTGTGATTCCCCATTCCTGTTATTTTTGGTGGGGTATCATAATTTTGTAACACAGTGCAACGGCTTTGACTTTACATTGCTAAATCATAGCAGTATTCTCCATTTTCTTCAAGTTCACTGATTGTAAACTCCAGGCAGAAAGAGCTGGTTCTTGGTTTACTTCTAGACTTTGGTCTTGCTCGAGGACTTGAGTGTCACATGTACATCCATTTGATAGTCACATGTACATCCATTTGATAGTCACATGTACATCCATTTGATAGTCACATGTACATCCATTTGATAGTCACATGTACATCCATTTGATAGTCACATGTACATCCATTTGATAGTCACATGTACATCCATTTGATAGTCACATGTACATCCATTTGATAGTCACATGTACATCCATTTGATAGTCACATGTACATCCATTTGATAGTCCACATGTACATCCATTTGATAGTCACATGCACATCCATTTGATAGTCACATGTACATCCATTTGATAGTCACATGTACATCCATTTGATAGTCACATGTACATCCATTTGATAGTCACATGTACATCCATTTGATAGTCACATGTACATCCATTTGATAGTCACATGTACATCCATTTGATAGTCACATGCACATCCATTTGATAGTCACATGTACATCCATTTGATAGTCACATGTACATCCATTTGATAGTCACATGTACATCCATTTGATAGTCACATGTACATCCATTTGATAGTCACATGTACATCCATTTGACAGTCACATGCACATTCATTTGATAGTCACATGCACATCCATTTGATAGTCACATGCACATTCATATGATAGATCTGGTTCATCTGCTCGCAGGTGGCTGGTCCCTCACCCCCCAGGCAGTTGTACTCCAACTTCAAAGGAAACATTAATCCTATCTATGTCTGCAAGACTCCCGGCTGAGAACTTGTTTCTAGAGAGGGGCTGCATTTGGGCAGTCGATAGGAGACTCCCTTTCAAATCCAGCTGTGACTTGCTGCAGCACACGGCCGGTGTTCGAAACCAGGCGGTTACCGGGGTTCACCCAGCCTCTAGGAAATGGGTACCAGAGTTACCATTCTAGGGTAAATGGAGGAACGTTGCTGTAGCTACGGAGTTGAGTGCGAATGGCTACATAGGCAGACAGTTTCTTATCAGCTGTCCGTACTGGTGGCAGAGCACTTATGGTTTATAACCGTGTGCAATGACGCTTGTTCACATCTCCTGACTTTACCCTTTTGACAACAGAGAGGAGAAGAAAAGTCTTGGCCAGTAAGAAACATGGCCTGTAGCACCACCGTGTGTTGTTCTGTACCTCTGCATCCCTGTAATGACTGTGCAAGTGTGTTATGAATGAAAGGGTCTTGTAACAGTAACACCTATATGTATTATGTATTTATGAGTGTGTGCAAGTTTTTTTTTTTTTTTTTTTTAAATTTAGTTGGTGTCCTTTACAGGACGTTGAAGAACCAACCTCAGTATTTTTTGGCTGTTGTGAATTTTCTTGGCAGATTTATGTTCAGTAGTTTGCCACTGCTTTCTGAATGGTTGGCTCTCATACCTCTATCAAAACCAATGCAAGGCGGTCTGCTGTAAAACTGTCTGCACCTGGGATCAAACATGAGATCCTGATATTATGAAGTGTTTTCACAACACCTAAGCCAGTCAAGAGCAGGATGTGACGATCCCTTAGGTGAACCCTACACACTGGCTCTGCATTTATGGAAGCCTCCTTGGATAGTAGGGAATGCATATATTCTGTCACTGCCTTCTCTGGATGGTTTCTCTAGACCGGCCTGATGTGGACACACAAATCACAGCCATGAGAGAGCGAGAGAGGGAGGGAGGGAGAGGGAGGGAGGGAGGGAGGGAGAGAGAGAGAGAGAGAGAGAGAGAGAGAGAGAGAAAGAGGGAGAGAGAGAGAGAGATTGAGAGAGAGAGAGAGAGAGATCATAGACACTGACGTGGAAGGGTATGTGACATGACTCAATGGTTTTTTTGCTACACACTGCCCTTGGTTAATTAGTAAAGAACAAATATGTTACCTTAAAATAATCCAGCTGAAATATGGCTTGAGGATGAGGAAGATTGTAGGAGGCAAGGTTCTCATACAAGCCAGTTCCTGGACTACGGAAATCTGGGATTCCAGCAGCTGTTGGGATGAGGGAATTTTTCATTTAAGCCACTGAACCTTATGCACACACACACAACAACAACAAAAACAACAATAAAACCACACCACAATTATAACTGAAGCTGTTTCAGTAGGGCTAAACATGGGTCGCCTCATGACTGGTCCATTATTGTGTCAGCCGAAAACTAGTGAAAACATGTGAGTTCCAGCAAAATCTTGAAGCCTGCACATACAAAAATGTGCCCCCCCCCCCCCCCCCCCCCCAAAAAAAAAAAACCAGTCCCAAGCCAGAACTGCAGGTCACTAATGAGGCACCCAGTCAATTATGAAGACTAGCATTGCACACATAATGCAGCATAAGTACACACACCATTAAGAATGCGATCAGCTACCCGCCATTTGTAATGTAGTTTATAATACAAAGCCATCACAGGCACAACAGGAAAAAAAAAACATTCAACATGCAATCCACAGCTCACAGTTTTGCATCAAGCACTCAACTCAGCAGCTGGGCAATGGAACCTTTGGACTCCCAGTCCAGAAATGGGGAACTTGCTAGCTCCAGCTTTAAAAAAATGTTTTAGTAATGTCACTCGGCAGTCAAGTTATCCATTTTGGTCAGAAGTCAGATTATTTGAGTGTTTGTGTGACTCCTCAATATATTTTAATTTCTTCTGTCAAGTAGCTGTATTAATTATGAAGCCATATTACTATAAATGTCCTCTCTACAGCTATGAAATCCACTCTTTGAGTGTCAGTCTCAACATCTGGCTAGCCACTCTACAGAAAAAGACTGAACCAAATGGAATAAAACCTGCTGCAATAAAGTTGCTCTCTCACATTTAAATATTTAATTATGATTAATTTCAAACTTACAAGCTCATTTATTAGGGAATTGGTGCAGTGAGCTGAACATCCTCCTAGTGTGTATGCATATGCATGTGGGAGGGGGGAGAAAAAGTTGTAGAATTTTAGGATAATTTCAAGTGTGAAGAATATAGCTCTTCAATCTTTTTCTTCTTCGTGTTCACAGGCTGTAAACTCTAGCAGAAAGTTCTGGTTGTTCATCCACTTCTGGACTTTATACTTGTTCCAAAACCTGAGTTTTGCATGCACATCGATTTTACAGATCTGGTTTATTTGTTTGCAGATGTGGGACCTCACTTTTAATGCAGATGGACTCTGACTTTGAAGCAAACATTCCTAATTAGTCAACTCTTATGACATGCATGTGTGTTACGGAGCAGTGGGTCGAGTATGCCCTCCCCACCACAATGAGGCTTTTGAACCTACACAGGGAGTTCTGTAATCTAATCTTTATCCCCCTTCATATTTGACTTCTCTTATTTTCCTCATCCATCTCCTCCTCCTCCTCATATTTCTTCTTCTTCCGCTCTTTTTTTTATGCATCTGTAATTCAATTAATCAACTAACCACTGAAAGAGCACACAATCATCAACCATTAAACTGCCAATAATTGCCTTTATATACCACTTTTGCTGTGAAGGCAGGGGGGTTTTTGAGCCCAAGGATTTAAGGCTGCAATGCTAGGGCTGTCGCCACGACTGTGCAGGTGACTATTTTTTTTTGCCCCCGACAGAAAAAAATTCCTAGCCTTACCGGGGATTCAAACCCGGGTCTCCCACATGAGAGCCCACTGTTCTAACCATTCGGCCAGCCGCTCCTCTTAAACTTTGATTAATTCCAAACTTACAAGTTGATATGCCAGCTCCTGCCATAGTAATAATATTGTTGCACTGGTCACTTGCTAGGTACTTTGCTATACCCTCCAAGGTAAAAGACTCTAACTTGGAGCTTGGTTTTTCCCTGAGGCGAAGTGACTGGGCTAGGTAGGCTGTCAAACTTTCAGCTTGAAAACAGAAAAAATGGACAATAATTAACTCTTTTATTCCCAGACAATAACCGCAAATATTTGGTTGAGGCATAATGATGATAACACAATCATAGGCATACTACATCCACAGGGACCTAATACACAGCACATTGTAGGAGATACATAAGTTATTGGAATTATTTAGTTTGGGCCATTTGCCTTTACTGCGTGCGCATATTTTCTGGATTGTTCCGGGATCAGTTGCTTGTTTATCAGTTTTTCAAACGTGACTGTGAGGGACATTTCATTTGATATTTAAAAAAAAAAAAATGGAGGTGTAGGCGGTCACTGCAGTTTTCCGCTGGCTAGAGAACACGACACACACACACATCGTGATTGTAACTGACTCAGAAAGCATGCTGAGGAAGATCAGAACAGGTATGCTTCGTGCAGAGTGGCATGCTTCGCTGCGGAGGACACGAGTGAGGAGTATTGTCTGGATTTTTTCACCAGGTCACGCCGGTGTGTTGGGAAATGAACAGGCGGACAGACTGGCTGGCTCTGCACAACTTGGTAGAATACTGATACATGATAAGGCAGACGTGGTTAGTGCCTTGTGGGAGAGCGTGTACAATTCGGAGGAGCAGATGGATCACCACAGTCTGGGGAGTTTGAAGCAGTTGGGGGTGACGAGAGGTTCTGGCAGATGCTCAAGGCTCAGAGGAAAGGCAAGACGGATGTTTAATCAGAATGCTACTGGCACCATTAGTATCGGAACTCTTCGCTGGCTGCTGAAGATGGGGATGGAGCGCTTATGGGAATGCCACGAGTGCTGTGATGTCGGTTCTTGAATCAAATCAAATCAATCATTTGATATGCACTGGCACAGAATGGAGCAAGTATGGGGAAACTCAATTGCAGTGAAGTTGAAACCTTGACTAAGAATAGTGTAGGCTGACTAAATGTAAGATGTGCAAACATATGTAACATGTTGACTGGTAAGATAATGTTAATTGTGCCTATTTTTTGTTGTTATTGTTGTTGAAAAGTTAGTAGCGTGTACTTCAAAGAATGTTGCAGAACCAACCTCAGCTTTTTTAGCTGCTGCAGTTTTTCTAGATAAATTTATATTCAGTAATTTGCCATTGCTTTCTGAGCAGTCAGCTCTCGGAACCATTGTCAAAACCATTGCAAGGTGTTCTGCTGCCAAATCGCTTGCTGTATGTATGTATATAAGTTGTACCCCACAAGGACATCATACAAAGCGATAAACACCCAGTGACACAAAGTGCCACCATGCAGATGAGGATCACCCATGGAGAGATCCCAGAAACCCCGTTCAGCCGTTATGCCATATTTATGGCCTGGCTATATTTAAGGCTTCCAGTAAAAGCCAGGGTGGGGCATAGATCGATCGACATCCATCATCGAGTCGCACACAGCTCTCGCTCGCTCGCTCACTCGCTCTACCGCCCGATAAAGCCACGTATGTCTCTCGTTAGCTTGCTAACTACCCATTCGTAGCCTGTTTATCGATAGCTAGATACTGGTCAGACTCGCTTGATATTCGGCTGAGTTTGGTTTGACTACGCTATCAGTATTCGTCTGCGTTTGGGTTATTAGCGGCCCAGGAGCACATCATTTGTTGAAGAGCCAGCCTTACTAGCCATTTGTGATTGTCTCGTGATCTGTGGAGAAAAGCACGCTCGGTGTACTTTTCAGTTCACTCAACGAACCTTGCCAGACTCTGCAGGGAGCGAGCAATCAACAGCAGCCTGATCAGCACCAATCTCAGCCTCAACAGCCATGGCCCGAGGTAAAAATAGCCAGAGAAAGCCACATACTGACCGCATCACCCGTTCAAAGCCAGCGAACAAAAAAACCTCACCCAGCGAGGCACCGACCTCTCCAGAGAAGACGGAGCCGACACTGGGAGAAGATCCAGTTGAGAAGCAAGTTACTTCAACCCAGGAACCAGCCCAACTGACCCAGACGCTGCCAAACATAGAAGCGACCCCAGCCAGGGCGCAGACACCAGTCGAGAAGACGCCTGCCTCTACCTCCAATGTGTCACAGCCAGGGAGACTGAGTCAGCCTCCGACGAAGCAGCAGTACGGCATCTACACACCCGAGATTACCCAGTGTTCACGATGTAACAGGGCGTGGCACACAGCCGCAACCTGCTGCAGCAGCCCACTGTGCCGGTCCGCACAACTTCAAGGAGTGCAGCCTAGCGAAGAAGGACGCTGACTTCAAAAAACCCAACTCAAACAGAAGGTGCTCAAATTGTTCAGGCACCCACAGCGCGAGGTACCAGGGATGCCCTTACCTCAAGGACTGCAGAAGAGCACTGACAGCTACCACCTCCAGACACTACGCCCTCCCAGGGGAAAGACAGAGTTTCCAGGCTCCCAGACCGAGGGACGACACAGAGGCGAAACATACCCAGGACGTGATCTCTGCCCTAAAAAGAGAGATCGAATCCCTACGAGAGGAGAACGCTGCCATAAAAACGAAGCAAGATCGTGACAGAGACGAGAACATTGATATCAGAAGGTTGCTGCAAGAGTCTCTCGAAACCCAGAAAAAGCAGGAGATTGAACTAGCAGACATGGGGAAGTTCAAGTGCGAACTCCTGGCAGTCCTGACAGAACTCAAGAAACAAAAAGAAGAAAGCATCGAGACCAGCCAAGCAGAAGCCTCAAAGATGAAAGCGTCAATGACAGCAGCGAAGCTAACTAAACTCAGCCAAGAAAGCCTACAACTGAGCGCCGCACTGCAAGCCACCAATGAAGTTATGGACGCCAGAGAAAGTGCAAGGAAAGAAGCGGAACGAAAAAGGCAATCAGTCCTAAACCGCAAAAAAGCACAGAAAGCAAGAATAAACACAGCAGAAATAGCAGACGAAGACCTCGAAGCAATGCTGGAGGAGGACAGGAAGGCGAAGCAAGCAGCAAAAGGAGAGTCAGACAGAATAGACGCAGAACTAGCCAAATATGCGGGATCATACGAAGACAAACTGGCCAGAGATGAACTCGAGAAACTAAACCATGCCCTCCAGTCCAGCCGCCTTGACAGTTGAACCAGCCAACCACCCAGCCCGCAGAACGCCCCACAGCTCGCTACCAGCCAGGCATGATGTCAACCGCCGAACCCAATCCCTCCCACCCGTTCGAGGCCACCCCGGCAAACTTTACTAGTCCTTCTCAGGACTAGTAAACTTCCACTCCCAATCACGGCCAACATCGCAGAAACACGCAAGAAAACTACTTCTAGACGCAGTTCGTCACAATTGAAAAAAACTATTGGGTATTCCAAACAAATAAACGCAGCCCCAAAATAACCGCCGCTCACTATTGGAGCTGGTTAGGGTGACATGAACTTTTGTTTTTTTTTCAAACAAACCGCAACCAACCGCAACCAGGGTGGGGCTTCAAATAACAAAAAATTGCATCCCACAAGGGGAAGACGTGTAGTGTGTAGCATTGCGCTCAAAGAGTTACAATTCTTTACCACTGACACTGTTATTTACTATTTTATGATACACAATTTCCCTGGCCTACCAAAAGATAAACAACCTGACTTCTGTGCCTTATTGAAATAGCAAAAATGGTCAGTAAGTGAAAACATTAAACTGGTGACATTTTAGACTTTCTAATTGATCAAATAAGATCTACATAATATAAATGATTTACAAATTTTCAACGGAATTAGTCTTCTTCATGTTCACCAAATGTAAACTCTGGAAGTAAGTTCTAGTTGTTTTTCCAGTTCTTGACTCTGATCTTGTTTGAGGACTTGAGTTTTGTGTGCATTGCCATGTTACTGATCAGGCTTTTTTCTATGCAGACTGTTGGTTCCTTGTCTCTCGGGCAAATGCACTTTGAGGAAGGAAATACTCCTAATTAGCTGCCTCTTGTGACATGCTTGTTAGGGGGGAAAAGGGGGGGGGGTGGAGTTGGTGGGCCTATCCTCTTTCCCCCCTCCCCAACCTCCAATGATACGCTAGAACCCACACATAGAAAAATGCAATAAAAAAAGGAATGGGCAGTAACAGAAGCTGTTTACAAGAAAAGAATACAATTCAAAAAATCAGCAAGTATCGAAGAATTACAGCATGGAAATAAAATTATTATCTCTTTGTCTTGATGTAGGTTAAAAAGTTAGTTGCATATCCTTTTACAGAGCGTCACAAAACCAACCCCAGCATTTTGTTGCTTTTGTAGTTTTTCAAGACAAATTTTATGTTCAGTAGTTTGCCACTGCTTGTTGAACAGTCAGCTTTCAGTACCACTGTCGAAACCAAAGCAAGACAAACTGTCTGCAGCTGGGATCAAACCCATCGCCCCGGCATTACTTAATGCGTTCATAACGCCTAAGCCACAGATGCTGACCTTCTACATACTGTGTATTGCATGGTGATCAAAGAGTAAAAAGAAACTTACATGATGCAGGTAATCATGTAAATTCAGGAATTTGCCAAAAACAGCTAAATAACAGATACATTTAATAATGTAGGTAGTAATCATGATAGTCAAGGAAACACAAAGAAAGAAATTACAACACGCATTGGTAAGGCATCAGCAGCTTTTAAAAGCTTCAACAAAATATGGTATTCAAAATTATTTAGTTTTTGAATCAAGTTACATATTTTTAATTCTAATGTTATTTCAGTTTTAACATATGCTAGTATGGTAGTGAAAGCTGGACAGCAAAAAAAAAAAAAAAAAAAAAACAGATGGAACAAAAGCTAAGTACATCTGAAAAGAAATTCCTGAGGAAAATAAAACATAAAATGGGATGAATGTAAAAGGGGTGGAAAAAAAAGTAAGAGAAATGTCTGGGCAACCACTAGTATCAATGCCTGTAAGACAGATAAGATGGCACTAAACTGGATAAATTCTGAGAAGAGACAAACAGATAATCACCAAACAGGCAACAAAATGGGACACAAGGACACCCAAGAGAAACCACAAAGTGAAGACTGATAAGAAAAGCCAAAAGTGCTGGGCTGGATTCCATCAATAATATCAAAGTGACTGCACAAGAGATAAAGGAATGAAGAAA